CAATTAGCGTAATGGCTTTGTCGCTGGACTCTCACGTAGTCGACCGCGGTTCACGTCCCGGACCCGGTGGCTTAAAACTCACGCCGGGCGCATGTGCGTGCGTGCCCAAGATCCCGAGAGGAGAATGGAGGAGAAGGGATTGCGGCGTGACCATCCCCCCTGGGGGGTGATTTCTCGCTTTCTGTTTCTATGTCTCTCTCTGTCTGTCTGGCGAGTGCACATGCCCTATAGCGAAAAACCTCTCCAAAAATAAAAATTTAAAAAAAAATTTAAAAAAGAACCCTACTGGAGGTATCTCTCTCTCTCTCTCTCTCTCTCTCTCTCTCTCTCTCTCTCTTTCTCTCTCTCTCTCTCTCATTCATGGGGAAAAAATGAGTTTAAAAAAGAAAGAAGAATAAAGCCACATTGATGGATTTCACAACTAACCTAATCACAGCAGCTGTCCATGGTGAGTTTCTCTACCGTAAGATAAGAAAGGAACTAGACCTGGGAGCCAAGCTGGCAGCTAGACTGGAGGAGGGTAGGAAACTCTAAGGCTCATCTTGTGTCAAAGAAGCAGGAAACCACAGCATTGAATATGTAAATCTCGGTGGCTGAGCCTCCCCCAGAGTAGTAAACCCTGACCTGTGGCTGCTGTTTTCTCCCTCACTAAAGTCAAGACATACAGCCTAGAGTCCTCTCGAGACAAAATGAGCGTCTATGTTTTTCAGAGAGGAATCAGGATCACAGGTCGTGTTTATGGACCACGTGTTTGCAATGGCTGGGCACTGGGTTCTGCTTCAGCCAGCACGTCCTTCCAAGATGAGCGAAAACACAGGATACCGAAGCAGCAGAGAAGCAGCTCTTTCTCAAGTGGCCTCTTTCTTTCTCCCTCCTTCTTGGCTGATGGTGCCAGCCTTGCCTCTTGGGATTCTGCGCAGATCCACTAGTGACACTCTCGCCAGAAGAATGAAGATTGATCAGGTCCTAAGCAGCAGTGGAGGAAGATACAGAATTGCCCCCTCTTCTTGTGAGGTAACAACTAGCATCAAGCAAAAATCAGTGACATGATCCTGAGGAGGAGTCACACTAAAGCAAAAACAAACACCTACTTTGGACGTCAGCAGGACTGATGAGCAGGGAAAAATAATATATTGATCAACAAATTTGAAGGTGGATATCAGACTCAAATATTCCACAGCCAGGTAAGGATCCCTCAGTCCTTGCAGAGGGCAGAATTGTGCCATTGTGTCCTTGACACGCTGGATGATTTTACTGTATGTCACTGAAGTGCGGGGAACCTCTCTAAATAAGCTAGCTAATTATGTCAAGTAAAAAGCAAAGTGAGACCTGAGTGAACAACAAATTTGAAGGTGGATATCAGACTCAAATATTCCACAGCCAGGTAAGGATCCCTCAGTCCTTGCAGAGGGCAGAATTGTGCCATTGTGTCCTTGACACGCTGGATGATTTTACTGTATGTCACTGAAGTGCGGGGAACCTCTCTAAATAAGCTAGCTAATTATGTCAAGTAAAAAGCAAAGTGAGACCTGAGTGAAATGTGAGACCTGAGAAATGTTGCTAAAACAGCTTATCGATCGTTTTCAGGATAATTCCCAGGCATTTAGGTGTCCTCTCTCTTCTCTTTCTCTCATTCTCTCTCTTTTACAAGCAGGTTAGAATTTATTCTGAGAATCTAACTTTGCTTGGGGGTCAAATGGGAAATGGCTTCAGTGAAAATCTCGTTGGAATGCTTTCAAAAAGGCTGTTTCCATCCCTCTTCTACATTAAATCCACAAACTTCTCTGATTGTCCGAGGAATATGTTGTCCTTCCTTAGGAAATCAATTTTATCAATGTCCATTATGAATACTTTGTAGAATGGCAGATACTGCTGGAGCCTCGCGATGTTTCTGAGACATCCTTTGCCTTCAGATAACACTCTGCCTGTACATTAAGGACCTTAAACACTTCTCAGTGACACATTTATGTTACAATAAACATGGCCACACCATTCCTACAGCTCACTACTGTGTATAATCAATAAAATAGTTTCTGCCACAATAGTTCTTATTGTAACCACCTCTTATTAGTTATAAATATTGCTTTATGACAGTCACACGGTTGTAATATATTAGAGCTCCAATTCTCTTACTTAGGAACATATACCCCATACAGGTAGTCATTTTTTCCACCCCCAACATTGCATATATTTGTAGCAAAACCAGGAAAATTATTAACTCAATTTAAAGATTATAGAAAAGTATTTAATGATGAAGAAAATTCATGCATGTATCTTTTTAAAATTCTATTTATATATCGCATAGAAATATTGAGAATGAAATAGGCAATGTCAGAGTTTACTTTTTTATAAATGAGCACAACTTTCTAAAAACCATAAAATACACTCACATGATTTAAAAAATAATAATAATCTACAATATACAGAATAGTAAAAAGGCAAATGTTATCTTTCCTCCTCTGTAATCCCAGGAGACACTTAGCAAACACTGCTCATGTGTTCTTTTAAGAATTAACTTGTATTTATATAGAAGAGAACTTCAAGACGTTCACAAAAAAATGATATTAAAATACAAGTTTATTTTGATGCAAAAAACTTTTGAAATCCATGCATAGTTTTCTCAACAGTATGTTTTTCCATGAATTTGTTGAAGACCTTTCATACATATATAATCAGTTTAAATGGGGTCATGATATCACTCCATACACCCTGTTTAATGCCCTGCATTTTTATGGATATTTTCCATATAACTACATAGAAACCTACTTCATTCTCTTATCAATTGCTTTATGTTCCATTGTAAAGCTATATCAAAATAAGTTTCACCAAACTCCTATTGACAAGGATTTCATTTACTTTCTATTTTTTTCACCTTTTAAACATCACTCTCATGCATGGTCATACGTACACACGAGCAGGCTTATCCACTCCTTCATGACCATAGAAGAGTCTAGGAGTTTTCCTTTTTCTCCCTTCCCAGTGTTGTTTTCTGGTGCTTCCATTGGGTGACTGCTCTCAGGCTAATCTACAGTACAGTGCATGGTTTCTAAGTTCAGATTCCAGCTCTTCCACATACTTCCATAAGCCAATTATTCAATCTCTCTGCACTCACATTTTCACATCTACAAAAATAGAGGATAATTAGTTTCTAGTTACAGAATCTTGGTGATAATTAAAAGTAATGACCCATGTGCATTGTCTGGCACTATGTCGGTGCTCAGTAGAAGTGAAATTGTGTGATTGATTTAAGAAAAAAAAAAATCACTTATCCTTTTAAGGATCCATGTTGACTATGTTCTCAGTGAGCTGTTTTGCACACTTAATTTTGCACACTTGCCAATTTCTCTCCTCTTCACCTTCAACTAGAGTCTTTTTCTTCCTCATATTCTTATCTTTTCTCATATTTTGATTCTATTATTTGAAGCAACTAGCAAGCTCCCAGTAACAGAATCAAATAAACCTACCCCTAATCTTTGAAATTACAGTTATAATTTATCTTGTAAAATTTGTTATCGTGATAGTCAGTATAAGTCTTTAATCTATTATAATGTATCATCACTCATCTATTATTGATTTTCAATTATTCATCATTTGGTTGTTGTTGGGTTTTGTTTTGTTTTGTTTATTTTGCAAATGTTTCTTGAGCATTTGCCAAGTGAAGATGCTGGCATAGGCCTCCCAAATACAAGGCAAACAAAACATCAAATAACTTACAGTCTACACAGTAAAGTAGAGGGAATCTAACAACATATAAGGGCAATTATGCCTTCTGGGCCCAGTGACCTGCTTCTGTTCTCTGAAAAGTTGGGTCACCAGCTTGGAGACAATCTGAGAGAAAATTCTTCAGTTGTCTTTTGAAAGACAATTAGCTATTCACAAGGTAACCCAGGTGGGCAAAGGTGCTTCCAAGCAGAAAAAGTGTTTAGTAAAACCTGGAGGCCATGGAAGAACTGTAAAAAGTTTAGAAGTAGTGGGAACAATATATAGAAGGGGGTGGGAATGGAAAGTTAGGAGGAAAACAGGCTGCAATAAATGAAGCTAGACTTGAAATAAAACAAGGTCTTCAATATCCTGGATGAGAGGCCTGTGAAAACACCATGGCATGCCACAAGTCCATGGTAGCTCAAGAGACAGTATGTACCTGGTTTAGCTCAGCAGGACTTGAGTTCTACCCATCCTGTGACAACAAACTAATTGACTAGAAAGGTCTAGTTTCTAGTGCTCTGTCGATCTTTCTGTTTCATGGGTCTTCCATAATTAAATTCATTTCCATGACTTCATACACGTTTATTCTGATTTTTTGGAAACATCATAACAAAGGAGATGTTCTGATAAAAAGACATTCTGTAATTATTATTAACCGAGAGAAACTGATGAGTTCTATAATCAAAATAAACAGAGTTCACTATTTGCAAAAGTCCCCCACCCTTATCCTAGGAAAAATTTTTAAGAAGTAGAAATGATTAAACATTTGTTCAGTTGCAATTTGCATTCAGCCCACTTTCTTGAAAAATAAATAATAGGCAGTCCAGATGTGATAGGTTGTTAAAGAAATGGACCGTTAGGCCTCAGACATAAATATATTGTCTTTTAGTATTTCAGATCTCACCTGTGCAAACTAACATTTTCTGTGAGAGAAGCCTCAGGGCTTTGACATCTGCTTGAAAAGGGGATGAGCTTCAGAGGCTGGCCCAGGGCTCTGTTCCTCTTTGGTGAGAAGGGTTTTTGTACAGCGAGGCAGTGGAGAACTATCACTGTGGTGGACGTTCGGCCCAGGGACCAGGCTGGAAATCAAACGTGAGTAAAATCCGAACTATCCTTCCTCGGTTTTCTGTCTTTATGATCCCTGTGTCTATAATACCATCTATAAGTTGACTCTTCAAAACCAGGGCAAAGAAAAAATCTGTAAGCAAAATTAAAAATTGATTGCATGTTTTCTATGAAGAGCAAGACTTGGTCATTTGGTGAGAATAACTTGCCTAAGTGATAGTTTTGGAAATTTGCTGAGGAACATGGCAGGTTTTAGACAGAACCTTGACAATGGTCAGAAAGGGAAACTCAGTTTTTGTACAGAGGAAGGTTAAGGAGAACCACTGTGTGTATACTTTCGGCTTGGGGACCAGGATAGAAATCAAACGTAAGTATCACTTTCCACTGTTTCTTCACTGTTTCTCATTGGTTTGCTTTCTGTTCTTTTTTGTATGTTTTTCTTGGTTAGATTTCTGAATGTCAGGAATATAACCAATTTCATTCTCAGGTTAGGTACAGAACAGGGAAAACTGTTCCACAGGAGGCTAGATAATGGCTAATGTTTAAGGTATCTAGGTCAAAATAACTTAATTGGAGAAGGAGGCTTTATGATCTTTCAGGAAGGTTTTGGTAAAGGGAGGTTAAGATGAATCAGTATAACTCACTTTCTGCCAAAAAAGACCAGACTAGTCAGCAAATGTAAGTACACTTTGCTCAATTATTTGTGGGGATTTCATCCAGTTGTGTCATTTGTGTGAATCTGTGGTATTTTGAATAAGCGAACCATTCCTGGTGACACAAAACTACACAACAGAACGCCCAATAATGGTCAACTTCAAAGCTGAGAAATAGACAGGGTTAGGGGTATGCAGAGAATGGGAGGAAGAATAAGTAGCTGGATTTTTCTATGAACGAGCCTATCTCCTGTTGGGAGAGGTATGCTAGAGCCCTCACTATGGTTCACTTTCGGCCAGGGGACCAAGAGGGAGATCAAATGTAAGTGCACTTTTCTAATTCTTTTTCTCATATGGTTGTAAAATTTGGGAGTTTTCAGCTTTGATACATGAGTTGAGATCAACCCTGAAGATTATAGGATTCTTCTGAAAAATCAGATAAGGAAGGGACAGCAAATCTGTTTATCTCAAGAAAGAGTAAAGAGCTAGTCAGTTGATATAGCATCTAAATTACTAGATTTTCTCTGTACCAGTCAGTCTAGTGCCTATTAGCAGCACAAAGAGGTTTTTGTTAGGAGGGAAGTGACTAAGCTAATACTGTGGATCACCTTCGGCCAAGGGACACGACTGGAGATAAAACGTAAGTCATTTCTCTATTACTATCCCCCAAAATCTGTGTCTGATTGCTGGTACTGTGTTGACTTCTAGAGGTTTAAGTAGTTTTGTGGAGATGGGTGAATTTCAGGTTTCTCATCAGTTGCAAAAGTTAGATTCAGCGTCAGAAACACATTTAGAGGTAAAAAGATTAAATTGCTGGAAATTGAATGGCTCAAAAGGAAAAAAAATTAGCGTAGATGAAAAAGGAATCCTAGAAACTCCCAAGAGCATAAGTAAATTAATTGTCATTTAGTTTTGCCAAATAGAGTTTCGATTTGGCTCATTATATATGATGTAGAAAACTGAGAAATACATGTTTTAATCTGTTTTCTGTCTTTTGTTTAATGAATTATTTTATAAGACAACTACAAAAGTCAATAGCATGCACAAAAAAAAAAACAGTAAGTTAGAAAAGTATACCTGTTTGCCATGAAGAAGAGGGTGCTTACTTGAGAATCAGCAGTAATATAATTTTTAGAGTCTAAAATGAACGATAAACTGTCAAAATGAGAGACTCTTTAAGAGTTAGGCTTTGACAGATAACTCTTTTTTAAAAAAAATCCAGTTTCCACTGTAGACTAAACTTAAAATGATCTCTGGGATCAGGAGTTGGCATAATGGCTATGTCACTGGACTCCCATGTAGTTGACGGTAGTTTGAGTCCCAGACCCGGTGGCTTAAACTCACGCTGGGCACATGTGTGTGCATGTCCAAGATCCCGAGAGAATAGAGGAGAAGGGATTGTAACGTGGCCATCCACCTCGGGGTGTGATTTCTTGCTTTCTGTCTCTCTGACTCTGTCTTTCTGGCGAGCATATGCACCCTATAGCAAAAACCTCTCAGAAAAAAAAAATTTAAATGATCTTTTCTTAAAATAGTGGGAAGACAGTTGTTACCAAAAGTTCAGTTTCAAAGAAACTTTTTTAAATGTAACAAAGTACATCATTGCATTTTTAATAGCCACAGGTCTGTAGGAAAATAGAAAATATTTTTTAAATTACACTTTTTCATTTTATTTTTCTTGGTTATTACTTGGGCATATCTTTATGCCGCCAAGAAAGCTGTGGCACAGGTTAGCATGGTCTTGTAGACCTCATGGCGGTCTTCATTCATGACTGAATAACACGTGCTATGCCACGCGCTCATGTAGCAGCGTGCTAGCCACTGAAGGCCACACCAGGCCCGTGGTAGCCCGTTTAACTCCGCTGGGGCCATTTTTCCTGATACACAGTGATACGAATAATACCACTAACAGAAATAAAGTCGCAATCCGGTGACCACTGAGCTAACACAGGAGAAACAGAAAACTGATCCATCAGAAATTTCAGAAAAATCATAAAGCTATTTTTTCAGTGATATTTAATTATTTCAATATCCTCTTTTCAAATTTATTTAAGTATTAAGAGCTCAATCCAAAAGAAAGAAATACATATAATTTTTTAGGGTAAAATCCACACCAGCAAAAATAAAATTTAATGTTAGTGATCTGGCCACTCAGGTCTTCTTCAACTCACTTCACTAAATTCACATTAAATACTATTAAAGATACATTAACTAAAAATAAATAAATAAGATAAATTTGTGATTTGTTTCTAGTTTTCAAAAATTTAACTGCCTGAGTAGGATTATGTTTCAGTTGTACAAAATATCTAATCATATATAAATGCGATTAATAAATACTTAACATAAATACACTTTCTGATACCTTACTTCTATGAAAGAAACTTTTTAATCTGGGCTTTTTATATTATCCTTTAAAATGGTTTAATAATTTTTTGTTGTTGCTGTTGATTACCTTAGCTGAATTCAAGAATGTGCTTAATAAGATTATTTTGGTCTACAAAACTTGATAGGACTAGTTTAGGGCCCTTTTAAAGTTCTTATAAAACTAAGTTAGAACTACTTAAAATTATTTAGACAATTTAACTGTTTTTAAATTATTTTAAAATGATTACAGGGGTTTTTTCAAGTATTTTTAAAGAGTTTCAAACTCTATTAAAAGCTAATAAGATATCTCGAGATAATTTCCCTATCAAATATACCAATTGTTCAATATTTTAATGCCAGATGGAAAAGTTAAACTTATCAAGGACTCACCCAATTAGGAGTATCTTTGTAAGACGTTTCCCCCTGTTAATTTCAAGAGATCACATTATTTTGCTGCCAAAACTATTTTATACAATCATTTTGAGGAAAAAATTAGTAACTAAGATTAAAAAAGAATAAAACATCAAACATTAAAAGTTCTTGGTTAATGTTGATAATAACTTTATAAAAATCTGTTTACATTTCTTTTGACTTCTTCCAACAAAAGATTCTTGATTTTCTATTTTAACTATTGCTCTCCCACCCAAGGGCTCAAATCCCCACAGAGGGGGATTTCCAAGAGGCCATCTGGCAGCTGCTTAAGGTCAGAAGCAAAACTAGCCAATTCTACCTAGACAGGTGGCCAAGATCACAGTTGAGCCCTCCCAGTCTGACTAAAATTGCTGTGTATGGTTACAGGCCATCAGACCAGGGGCTTGGTCTCACTTTGAAGTCCTGTGAGTGGTAGGAGAACTGCTGATCACAGATGGTGTGGGAGGTGATGCCCATCCAGATGCAGACACACTTAGGGCCCTCTCTGCAGGGTAGGTTTGGCCAAGCCAAGTCAAAGGAAGACAGAGGAGCCCGCTATCAATACAGCACAGGCCTGGAGGGGAAAGGGGGAATGGAAGCCAACAAAGGTTTCCCCTGAAACATCCACTGCCAGTCTTCTGCCCTATCTTCTTCCATATAAAGGGGCCAAGATCTGCTCTAAATTACAAACTTGAAGGGGGTCAGACAAGTGGTCTGCGTCTCTCTGCCTGAATCACTGAGGAGGCAGGGAACACAGGGGAAGAAAAGAAAGGCGAGGTCAGAACAAGCATACAAAGGAGTGTCAGCATAACTTCAAAGAGTTCAAACAAAACCACCTAGAATTTTATAAGGGATAGGAAGAAGCTAGGGAGAAACTGAAAATCATCAAAATTATAAATCTGCTTATTGGCCTCCCAGTCATGATTCTACAGGGCAGGCATGCTCCTCTGTGGATGATGTCTGTCCTAATGTGCTCTGTGATCATCCACAAACAATGCACCTAAGTAGAGAACTTCTGGTCCTTAAACACCATCCTGTGTTTCCTTTTTCAGGTAATGATGCCCGGCCAACTGCTGCCATCTTCCAGACATTTCTAGAGGAGAAACTTACTGGATCTGCCACTGTCGTATGCTTTATAAATAACTTCTACCCCAGAGACATTGATGTCACGTGGAAGGTGGATGGTGTTACCCAAACGAATGGCATTCAGAACAGTGTCACGGAGCAGAGCAGCGAAGACAGCACCTACAGCCTCAGCAGCACCCTGACGATGACCAGTACAGCATTTGACCGTCACGACAACTTTGTCTGTGAGGTCCGCCATAAGAGCCTGAGCTCGCCCCTTATCAAGAGCTTCAATAGGAAGGATCATTAGAGCGAGAGGCCTGCAGGCATCACCACCTGCTCTCCAGGCCCAGCCTTACACCCCTTCCTTAGGCCTCAGACCCTTTCCCTGTGGTGATCTACCACATTGCAGTCTTCCAGCCTCTTCCCTCACCCCCATATCCCTTCCTCCTCCTTGGCTTTAATCATGCAAACCTTGGGAAGTAAAAAAATCAGTAAATAAAGTGGATCTTTGCACCTCTGACTCTCTTGCCTTCCTCATTTAGTGGTTGTTATTCTTCCCTTGTTACCTAATTTCTCTTCTAAGGAACGAAATATTTATTTGCCCTAAAATGTACCACCATTTATAAAAATCATCCTCCATTCTACCCTATGCTGCTGTCTGCTCAAGGCATTCCTCCCTGAATCTACAGCCACCTATCCTCACACCTCGGTCCCCTGGGCCCTGGCAGGAGAGGCTTGCTTCCTATTTTCCCCTCCTCGGCAAACTCTGAGTCCTGTTTAAGGGTAATCACTCTTACAGTCATCATTTCTCTGGACCGGGGGTGGGATGAAGTAGTAGAAGGTGGAGAGTAAGAAGGGGCTTCTGTGAACAACAAAAACAACAACCAAATTTAAAAAAAAAAAAAAAAATCAGAAGGGACTTCTGGGATTTTGGTAACATTCTCCAGTAGAAACCAACCTTGCTGATATCTTGATTTCAGATTTCTGGCCTCCAGAACTGTAAGAGAATAAATTTCTGTTGTTTTAAGGCCTCCAGTTAGTGGTACTTTGTTAGGGCAGCCCTAGAAACTAACTCAATGGGAGGGCAAACAGGAGAGTTTGGCTCCCAAGAAAATTCTTCCTACACTGTCAACTTGATGCCACAAGTGTCCATTTCCCCAAAGATGGTGGCCAAATCCACCCACAAAAAAAAAAATGGGGCTCCACAGGTCTAAGACTTCTTCAAATCCCTTAAGGCCAAACAGAAGGTTTAGGCTGTTTCTCATGAAAAGCAGGATATTTTTAGACTCTAAAAATGTATCTTAGAGTCAGAAAGCCCTCACTCTGCCATGGACAAGCTATGTGAAGCTTCCCAATCTGTGAGGACATCCCTTTATCACTTGTGAGATGATGATCACTTGACAGGTAAAAAATCATAAATATTAAAAGAGGTAGCACATGTTTAGGAGGTCAGTACACTGGTTCACCTTCAAAGCTCTTTGAGTTCTATAGCTATAGAATGAACAGTGTGTATTCATTGAGCTAGCTCTTTGGCTCCAAAGCCCCATGGGTACCACTGTGGACCTAAGACATAAGTGAAAAAGTGAAGGAAGAGAAAGAGGATAAGCTAAAGAGGAAGACAGAATGAAGAGAAAGCAGGAAGGAAATGTTTAAAAACATGGTAATAAGATATTTATCAAGAAAAACTAAAAGGATACCCCATCTATGGTAGGAAGGATATCCTTTCTCCAGGTCAGAGACAGCATCCCAGCCAACTGTGCAGCTTCCTGGGTGTGAAATAGCAATCATCCTGAAAAAGAAGAGGCAGGCCCACACCCATGTACAGAGCTAGACATCGACTATTGGAGAGTAAATATACCTGGACACCTTCAAAGCAGCATATGGATTACATATAGACCCAAACAGACTAAGAGCAATTACAACTTCCTGGGGTGGCAGTGGGGTTAGACTAGCAGTGAGTCTTATAAGATTGGGGAAAGTCCAGTTGCTCCATCTGCCACTCCTATCTGCCACCCACACCATCCCAAGTGCCCTTGGGCACACAATTTCTTCTGTGTCTCCTTCACCCTCTCAGAAAGACAGAGAGCTATACTGCTAACCTCAAAGTCTTTTTCCAGCTCTAATGTCTATACATCAGAGTGGGTCGTCTGTGGTTTCTAAAATAGTTATAGAAGTTTCTAGATTAAACTCTTCTTCCTTTTTTTCTTTTTAATAAAGGAAACTTCTTCAGAAGTAGTCTGTTTCCTACAGTTAGTGCTAACACATTTGCTTCCACAAGTCCCTGAGCAAGTCAACAGCTTGAACATATACTTTTGGACAAAAGGAGAGGGAGAAGAGACAACAGTAAAGTCATTTTTAGAAAGAACAGAAAATGGATGATGGAGAAAAAAGTCAAGAAGGGAAGGTAGAGGAAAAGAAAGAGGAAGAAAAGGCTGAGCAATGGAGGATAGGAAATGAAACAGAGTCAGCCAGTGGCATGGTGGTTACAATGGCCGGAACCCACATGGCTGACTACACAGTTCAAATCTCAGACTACTTGAAAACTCACCAGGTGTATGTGCCTGCCCCAAATCCCAACAGTTTGGAAAAACAGAGGAAAAGATTGTGACCATCTCCCGTTTTGGGGGTGGGGGGGTTCTCAGTTTCTCTCTTTTTCTGTCTGTCTCTCTCTCTCTGGCAAGTGCACACATCCTATAGAAAATTATTTTTAAAAAGAAGAAATGAAACAGGAATGGGAAGGAGGAAACCAAGACATATGTTTGTTTGTCTTTTTACACTGTGCCTTGTTCCAGACAATGACAATTCCAAGACGTAATTCCTCAATCATGTCCCTTCAACCCAATGACTCTGTTCTTTCTTGAAATCTGGTTCCCAGGAAGCTCATGTACAGGTCAGACCTTTCCATCTCCCTGTAGCTGCTGCCACTTGGGCTGAGTAACTGTCTAGGACTGGAAGAAGGTTTTTATAAAAGTTAACAAGGTGGGACCTAACATATTACTAAATCAAATTGTGGACCAGAGTAGTTACTGGAGAATGCAAAACACAGATCAGGGACCCTGAAACCCTCTCTCTGTTGGGTAAACATAGGCGGCTAACCAGGAGGGGTCAAGTCAGCCATCACTATAGCCCTGGAAAAATGAAGCAGATAAATTACTGAGCTGCTTTACTCACAGCACCATTTGTATATAACTGCCTGAGAAAATATACTCCTAATCATAATAGCAAGTTACTTGGCTTCTGTGTCTCCGTTTTCTCATCTGTGAGGTAGATTTCTGCTATTCTTCCTAGATCAAGATGCTTTCCAAGGGGTCTGGGAGAGTCACATCTACAAACATAAATTCTACTGTAACAGACTGCTCTGGTCTAGTGATCACGGGCAGCTTCTATGTCCTGATCCTGACCTAGCATCACCAGATAGCAAGGCCTTACCATCTACGTGTAAGTTAAATTCAGACGTTCTTTTCTATTGACTCCAAGTCTCTGTTAAACAAAGACTCGCATATTTAAACAACTACTAATCAAAGCATTTCTAAGCTCACCTCTTACTTACAAACCCGCACTTCCAGATGTCCCACCTTTTTGATTTGGGCCAATGAAGAGACTCCTCACTCTGATTTATAACTTGTCTGTGTCTCCCACCCTCAGAACTGAGTGATAGAACTGCTGTATCTCAGTACCCCAGGAAGCACCTTTGTGCTCCTCAGAGCCTGGTCTCTCAAAGTCATGCTTAGAATAAGCCATATTAGTTATCATTTCTGTAGAGCTTGGTTATTTCCATTGTCATCGGGAAGGGAAGGTGGGAGGTCTTACTTGTAAGATTGTTAGGAGAATTCAGTGAACTATTTCATGTAAAGTACTAAGTATCTGTCTCTGTTTATACTAAGGGACAAATAAATGTCTGTCATCATTAGTCATAAAAGTAGCTCAGGATGACCCTGTGCCCTAGTGGTTAAGGGAGCTGGATCCCACATGACCAACTACGGTTGGGTCCTGGCCCAGGCGGCTTCAAAAACATTCCCAGTGCACGAATGTGAGTACCCAAAATCCCAATAGGAAGAAAAAAAGGAGAAGAGATTGTGGCGTTATTCTACTTCATTGGGAGGTGCTTTCTCCTTTTCCCTCTGCCTGTCTGTGTCTCTCTGACAAGTACACATGCCCTCTGGCAATTAAAAATGAAGTAGCGGCAGCTCAATTTGGCTATTGTTTCATTTTCTCCTTGGATCTTCTCTTCTATCACAACTCTTTTAGCCCTAGAAATGGCTGGACCTTGAATTAACACATATATGTTCCAGATCTATGTGTCCACAGCTTCCTCTAGCCACACATGGCTGAAGATAAGGTTAGTCTTCCCCCCACTTTGGCAGCAATTTTATTTACTTATTTATTTATTTATTTACAGTCATTCAGTGTATATCAATATGGTATACAAAATGAGATTTTTCCATCCAGAATGCATTGTATATTGGCTCAATAAAGGATATTACCACACATATTATCATCAACAAATCATTTTCTATTTCTTATTTCTTATATATCTTATTTTTTTCTCCTTGATTCCCTACCTCTCACCCACTGCCAATTCCCTTTCTTCTTCTACACTGTCTCTGGTATCTACAATTGTTTTCCATGTCTTCTTTTTCACATTTTGTTAATTCACTAAAGATCTTAATTAATTAAAAAACTTGCAATAACAACCACAGCTGATATATACATATTTATAAATACATGTCTGACTTTAGGCATAAACTTCAGTGAGTAAAATGAGCATACTATAAAGTAGCAAATCTCTGGGGCTGTATAGCTTACTGCAGTCATAAAATAGGTATTAATAGGTATTTTTAATGCATTTTTATTTCAAGAAAAACAGATTTAGTTTTAATAGATCAAAATCAAAAAATGTTAAGAGAAATTTGCTTAAAACTTAAAGCCAGGAAGAAGGTTTGGATTCACTTCAAATAGTAGGTAGATGAACTTATCAACAGTTCAAAAGAAGACAAAAATTTGTAATTATGGAAATCTAAGTATCAAAGAAAATCGGTAATGTTTAGTCTAGTGAAATTCTGTTTCACTATTTCAGACTCATGTAATTAATCTCTCTTCTACTAAATTTGCAGTGATACTATGGTCTGATCTTTCCATTTAAACTCTGAAAGTTAACATTCAATGCCAGACTTGTCCCTACCATTAGGCTGGCCATTCCCTTGGTTGATTTTTGTACTTCTTTCAGTGTGTTGGACTTTAGTTTTCCTAGTATAGCACTCCCTTCATCAATTCTTGGAGAACTGGTCTGGTGTTGGTAAATTCTTCCAGGTTTTGTTTATCTGAGAATGTTCTTATCTTTTCTTCTCAGATGAAGGATAATCATGCTGGGTATAGTATTCTTAGTTGAAATTGCTTTTCACTTAACTATTTTAATATATTTTCCCATTCTTTACTTGCACACATTGTTTCTGATGAGAAGTCCAATGTTAGCCTGATGGGTCATCCTTTGAAAGTAATTTGACATTTCTCTCTTGCCAA